AAGTACCAGATGATCAGAAGTTAGCTAATTTAACTCCTCTTTTCAAGGGAGGTGATAAAAATTGTCACAGTAATTATAGACCCATTAGTCTTAAATTAGGTGTGAGAAAAGTTTTGGAAAGTCTGTTAAAAGATACTTTGCAAAGTCATTTAACAAAGTTTAGAATTTTATTGGATAGTCAACATGGTATCACTAAGGGAAAATCTTGCCTTATAAACCTTTTAACATTCTTTGAAAAGGTTACTGCGTATATAGATGAGGGTAACGGTGTAGATTTGGTGTATCTGGATTTTCAGAAAGCATTTGACAAAGTGCCACATAAAAGGCTTGTCAAAAAAATTAGCTCTATAGATCTGGGTATAAGTTAGCAAATTGGATAGAAGAGTGGCTGGATGGAAGATAGCAGAGAGTTGTTACAAATGGATTTCAGTCAAACTTGATTACTGTCACAAGTGGAGTACCTCAGGGCTCAGTCTCAGGACCTTTGCTCTTTAGACTTATATCAATGACATAGATGAAAAGATAGTCAATAAATTACTTAAATTTGCAGATGATATTAAGGTCTTACCTGCTGCTAGCTGTGAAGAGGATGCTGCTGATTTAAAAAAGTATTTAGATCATTTAGTGAGTTGGGCAAATAAATGGCAGATGGGTTATAATTTGAATTATAAGTATAATTTGGATGGGAATAGCCTTAATAGTGTTATGAAGGAAAGGGATTTTGGTGTAATGGTTGATCAGTCTCTAAAGCCATTCACACAGTGTGTTGTTGCTAGTGGTAGGGCAAATAGGATTTTAGGTTGTGTCTATAGAAATATTGAATACAAGTCTAAAGAGGTTATACTTTCATTGTACAGGTCACTGGTTAGGCCAAATTTGGATTATTATGTTCAGTCTTTGGCTCCTTACCTTAGGAAAGACATTGAATTGTTGGAAAGGGTTCAGAGAATGGTTACCAGAATAGTGCCTGGGATGGAGGGGTTGTCATATGAGGAGAGGCTGAAATTTCTCAAATTGTTTTCTCTTGATAAAAGAAAAGTTAGGGGGGATCTGACTGGGGTGTTTAAGATTGTAAAGGAATTAATAGTGTTGATGCATCATATTTTTGTTTATTTAACAATGAGAATAGTGAGACTAGGGGCCACAAAAATATATTTTGGCAAGGTAGAAGTCATCTTCAGCTAAGACAGTTTCATTTTTCTAACAGAGTGGTTGGCCTTTTGAATGGGTTGCCTTCAGATGTTGTAGAGGCAGTAAATTTAAGTGGGTTTAAGAAAAAACTTGATAAGTATATCAATGAAAATGGCTGGCTTTAAGATTTTATTATTATTATTATTATTATTTTATATATATTTTTTGAATCACTTTAATTTAGTTTAGAGGATGGAACAGCCGAGATGGACCAATAGGTCCCATATTGTCCAAAAACGTTATGTTATGTTATATGTTATGATGAAAAAAACCAAAGTATCAGTTTGTTTGTAGCTAAACACAAAGCTTCACAATGGGGTATCAGTGCTATACCCACCAAGGATATCAAAACTCAGGTTTTGGCATTATAAGCCTTTAGGCTTACTGCTGTGCCACTGGGGGCAATAGTTTGAGAGAATATTATCAGCCAACTAAAGAGTTTAACTGCTTAGTAAGGCTTCTATAAAAACAAACAACAGAATCAGAGGGTGACATTAGTTGACTAAAGTTTAATTCCTTAGCAAGGCCACCATTATATGACAGGTATGACAATCTAAATTTTATTTTACAATTGTTGTATATTACTGTGTAAGTTATTTTAATAAATAAAAAAAACACAGAATCATTTTTTTCATTGTGACAAAAATATTAATTTATGTGTGACCTAAGTCTCTTGATCTACCCAAATATTCTACGGTATCATTAGAATATCAAACTCATAACCAAATATCCTAAGACTAGTAAGTAGTTTTTAAAAGTATACCATGACAATTCTTAGACTGATTAGTCTGAACTTGCATGTTAATCAAACCTGTAAGAAAGGTAGCTATTTTAATTATGACCTACACATTTTGGATATGATATTGCACATGTCTAGTCATAACTTGATACCATCTTTACCCAGATATCTTTATCTAAAACAACTTAATAATAACAAACTTTCTGTAAAAAACCAAAACTGAAAACATACTTATTATACCTTCAATTCTTTGGGATATAGTTTTAGCTATAATGTAGCTTTTAATGTTAGAATGGCTATCGTAATACAAATAAGGCAATGACAAATTAACCAGAAAAGATGATGCCCTTTCATGTTAAAAATTAACAGAGTAAGTGCTAAGACTGAAACAAAGAAAGTTCACACCAACTGAGAAACACTTTGGAATTTAACTAAACAACTAAATTTTGTATTTGAAAAAAATGTTTTATAAATCACTTTGATATCACTGATGCTAAATTTCGACTGGTAAATTACCAGATCAATTGCTACATGCAATGCAGTATATTACACTTACTTGCACAGTCTGGCCATGGAAATTTAAAAGGGTGCTTTGATTTTGAAGTTGGCAAACGTGACCAAACTCCTTTGCCATGTCTCTGGCTACAAAAGTAAAATTCTTCTGGATCCTCAAAGAAGTCAAAACCATCTTTACATGAAACTTTGCAAAACTGCCCCTCCAGTGATTTATCACAAACCAAAAATCCATTTTCAGGAGGCCTCTCATAAGGACAGTTGTATGCTGTTGATAAGAAAATCATTATTCAGAAATGCTTTTTCTAATGAGATTGAAGCTGGACTCCTTTAAGATTTTTCATTTACTATCTTAAGTTTTATCACTGATTCCAATATCCAAGTCCTACAGAATTGTAGTTTATATTTAAAGTAAATATACATCATAATTAAGAATAAAATTCACAGATGCACTTAAAAAGTAGGAAAAAAAGTTAATTAATTTCTTTATAAAGGATCTAAATTATGAGATTTAAAAAAAACACAATTTAGAATACGTCTGGAGAAGATGACACAGTTAAGTATTCTTCAAATTATACCTACTCTACATTATGATGAAAGTATAAAATTTGCATGCACATTTTATAGGCCTTTCTGGTTTAAAAATATTGTTATAAATATTCTACCATATATACAAAAAGTGCCAAAAAAGTATTTTATGCAATGTTGCAAAAGTTGCATTTTCCTCCAACAGTATGAGTGGCTAAGATGTTACATCCAAAAACGTGTTTACTGTATCCTGTAAAGGTTTAATGGAGTAAAATATTACACAAGGCACTGGTCATACAAAATAAGTGGTTATATAAAAGAATATACTGTAACAAGCATGAGTCCAAACTACCAAATCAAAACATCATGACTTGTGCAAACATGTTCTAACCAAAACAAAAGCCACAGTGTTGACCACCAACAGCCCAATCAATGTCCACAAGCCGCAAATCTTATCCAGTCACATGTGGAACTGTTCTTGATGTAGAAGTTCTCTTGACATGCTGAACAGTAATCAACAGAGAGTTGTCATTTTCACCATTTGTGCTTCACTGCTAGAAGAACTATCATCTTCAACTCATTGTTGCTTCTTAAGAGGCCTCCTCTTCTAACATGCTGGAGCCTTTTTGTTTCCTTTGCTTATTGTTGGCTTTAATATGAGTACAGGTTTGATGACGAGGAACCCACTTTGAGACTAATAATGGCTGGAGAAGGCTTGAATGGGTAATGAAGAAAAACTTTAATATAAGTTTAACATAACAGCAAATGTACAACATTTCGACAAGGTTTTGTCATCATCAGGTACAAGTAATTTACTCTGACACGGATATATATATACAGTATTGAACAAAGAAGTCACATGACCGGAACTGTTGTGAAACTTAGAAGAGGTATCTAGGCACCCCGGGGTGTTGGTTTAGTGTAAGTCTAAACGTTTATCCTTGTTCGATGACGAGGACCTGATGATGACAAAACCTTGTCGAAATGTTGTACATTTGCTGTTATGTT